CCTGCATTGTGAATTTAAGTAATGCAATTAACATTTACAAGGTGCTGTGAAATAGCTGTGTTTCTGGTGCCAGCCTGGAGGAAATGAATGACATCACTTCTCAGCTTTATGGATGGGTTGAGGAGGAGTTCCAGGGCCTCCCCTCTGAGCCTAATTGGGGGTGCCATTCATCCTTGTGTCTGCCACATCGCATTTGGACACATCTGACCTGGTTCAGTTTGAACACAAGCACTCTTCACTAATGAGGCAGGGGAGGGTGAGCCCACCTCTCACTGTTGCCCACCCCTCAATCACGTGCTGGACCCCACCCAGCCTATGGGAAAGGGTCAGAGTTCACCCTGCATCAGGAGGTGAGATCACCAACTTCTGTTAAGGAAAACACTCAGCTGGTATATCATGTCCCTCAGCCAAAATAACTGCAGTTCCTGGAATGGAGGATGCATTATTATAACTTTATAATTCTTGTCGGCCTTTTCCCCTGAACAGCAGTTAAAAGCACGTGCCCGGGACTGCCTGGGCATGAGTCTTGGTGCTGCCACTTTGTTCGTGACTTAATTAATTCACCTGAGCCTGTTGAAAGCAGATTGATAACAGGATCTGCCTCAGGATGGGGTGCAAGTTAAGAGATGTTTGTACTGTCTTTAGCCTACATTAGGAACCTAGGAACTGTTACTACAACAGCGGAGTGACAGCTACTCTGAGAAAATCCCATAGGAAGGTGTCACCCCTTTCAGGGAGGTAACCCAGCCAATTTACCCTCTAGCCCTGGAATGATCACACTGGATGAACAGTTGGCTTGTGTTGGGGGGACGCATTATCTGGGAAATGACAATCTTGAATCACTAGAAGCCAAACAGATACAGGGGGTAAGGTGAGGGAGATTTGTATCTACCTTACCATCCCTGATACTAATTTCTTTTCGTTGCCAAGAGCATGTATAGATAGATTTGTGTGTTCTTATTTAAATTCCTTGGACTCGAGCACTTTAAATCACATTGATCAAGTATATCTTATGTTATCTAACCTATCTGTAAAATAGGGACAGTAGTATTTCCAACATTTAAGGATTAAGTGAGTTAATACACATAAAGCACAGAAGAGTGGTTGGCATCTAGTTAACGCTGAAAAAAAAAAAAAGACTATTGAATGAGAGATTTTGTATATACTTCAGGAGGGCCAAATTGTTACTCTGTGAAGCAGAGCCCTGTGGGAGAAGCTTCAGCTTTTGAGATGTGGTTTCTGAAATCTGAGTAATAGGGAGGCAAAGTGGTAGGAAGGTGGGAACACTTGAAGACTGAAGGAACAACCCTGGCCAGTTTGGCTCAGCAGTTGAGCATTGGCCAGAGTCTCGGGTTCGGTTCCCGCTAGGGGCATGTAACACACACACACACACACACACACACACACACACACACACAAAAGACTGAAGGAACAGTAGCAGTACATATCTGGAAGGTGGCTTTATTTGTCTTTGTGTAGAATAGATAGAGGGAGAGAATTAAGCTGGGTATCTTTCTTGTTTCTTTAAATTTTTATTTATTGATTTTAGAGAGAGAGAGAGAGATCAATTTGTTATTCCAACTATTTATGTATTCATTGGTTGATTCTTGTATGTGTCCTGAACAGGGATAGCACCCATAACCTTGCTGTATAGGGACGATGCTCTAACCAACTGGAGCTACCTGGCAAGGGCTTAGCTGGGCCTCTTCCAATCATGGCTGCAGGTTCTGGATGCTGGGAATGTTGTAGTAGAAAGGCAGCCAGTGTAGTTAATGTCATCACAAACCCAGAGTGATGAAAACTAGAAAAAGAATATTTTATGGAATCACATTGAATTATGCAACTGGAAAAAGTATTTTTACCTGCCCAGTTCTCCCCAGGGCACCCAGGTAGCTGGTGACACTTATAGCTGCTGGTTTTCTTCCCTGAATCTTCCTCCAGGGCCCATAATTCTGATTCTAGGGCAAATTTTCCCTGAATGTTGAGATCTGGCTTTGGGAAGGTGCTCTGCTCCCATGTCCCTCAGGCCCATGTCCCTCAGGCAGGCTGGCAGCACAAGTTGGCAGTGCTGAGGCCTTGGGAGAAGGTCTGAGGTAGTTAATCATTGCTAGTTCTGGGCAGCAGGCTCACCTGGTTCTGTCTAGGTGATTGACCCAGTTAGGGGCTGTCTGAAGTAACTCTGGGTCCCCCAGATGAGAGTGAAGTCCTGCACTTTCATTCAGCATGTGGTCTGCTACCAGCTCCTGATTAGAAACTCTGTCTACCCCTTCCTCCACAGAGCTCCCCATGGACCCTCCTGGAGCCTTAACATCTCATGACCCAGCCTCCCACCTTGTGGCAGGCCACCCAGGTTACTTAGTTCACTGGTTTGGCCTGGGGCGAAATACAGGAAATTAATTACTACTTCTAACCACACTCCAGCAGTTTTCCTGGGATTCTGGCTGCCTGGTCTCACCAGAACTGGCCATAGGACAGCTGGCCTGTTCTTGCAGGTCAGGGCTTGGGAGTGAAAGGTGCTGAGAAGCAGCTGATTAGGCTGGGTCCCTCAATCCTTTCCCTGGCGCTGGGGAGATTCTTTAACATGTTGAGAGGAATGAACTGTGAACCTAGAACCCATGGGGTAAATCACACACTGTGCTCTCTATCAGTATACGTTCATAACCAGAACAGTACTTTAACTTGCATATTTTTTTTTATCCTCACCTGAGGACATTTTTTCCATTTTTTGTTCAGATAGAGTGGGAGGGAGAGAGTGGAAGAGGGAGAGAAACATTGACGTGAAAGGGACACATTGAGTGGCTGCCACCCACACGACCCAACCAGGGCCAGGGACAAACTGCAACTGAGGTATGTGCCCTTAGTGGGAACCGAACCCGGGTCTCTCGACCACAGGCGGACGCTCTAACCGCTGAGCCAAACTGGCCAGGGCTTAACTTGCATATTAATCATCCATGGATCTTGTGAAAATGTCTATCTTGATTTAGTTGGTCTAGGATGGTGCCTGAGATTTAGTTCTAACCATCTCCCAGCTGGTTCTGAAGGGTACTGGTCCTTGGGCCACGTGGACAAGAGCAGAAGTCTAGTTGCCCTACACCCATGCCTGGGGAATGGGCAGTTGCAGAGGATGGGATTGGGAACCCCTCCCTCCAGTGACATTCGGAATTCGCCTGGGGGCGCTGTAGGCCCCTCAGCCTGAGTTCCACACCGCCCCCTGGTGGGCACAACGCCAGCGTCACCACTGCAGCCCTGTAGTCTCCGTAATGCTTCTAGAAGGTACACTGGGATGCTAGTGTGAGTCACTCGGCACTTCTTGTCATCTGGCTTCCTGTGTAATCTGTCACTAGGTGGTAAGTCCCCGGGGCCAGGGCTCAGGGACCAGGAGAGCTCAGTGCCCATAGGCAGCCATTTGCTGGAGAAGCTTTCCCAGGCCGGGTTCCAGGTCATAAATGTGCGGCGCCAAATAGCTCTGGAGTTGCTTTGAGGAAACAGAATAGGAGTCTGGTTCTGGCTAGGTACCTAGGTGGTTGTAGCATCATCCATATATGCCAAGGATTTGGGTTTGATCCTTGGTCAGGGCACATATAAGAACCAACCAATGCCTTGGCCCGTTTGGTTCAGTGGTTAGAGCGTCAGTCCACGGTCCAGAGTGACCCAGGTTCAGTTCCCGCTAAGGGCATGTACCTTGGTTGCGGTTTGTCCCAGGCCCCAATTGGGGTTGTGCGGGAGGCAGCCACTTGATGTGTCCCTTTCACGTCGATGTTTTTCTCTCTCTCTCCCTCCCACTCTATCTGAACAAAAATGGAAAAATGTCCTCAGGTGAGGATAAAAAAAAAACAAAAAACTGATGAATGCATAAATAAGTGGAACGACAAAATGATCCTCTTTCCCTTCCTCTCTCTCTAAAAAAATTACTAAAATTACAACATATTAAACAATTTAAACAACAAAAGAGGGAGAAAAAAAATAGCAGTATAAGGGCCTCACCCTGTACCTCGGCTCTAATTTTGCATTGGTTTCACTTAGATTTTTGACTTGGCAAAAGTCTGTGTGTCAGTTTTCCTTATAAAATGGTCCACAAAGACAAGAGGAAGCATAAATAAGAAAGGTGCAGGTTCTTGCTGCCAACAAATGTTCAGGCTGTGGGCCAGGTCAAAGGTCACATAGTCCTTGAACCCATTTGTGAAGACCTAGCCTGAGCTGCTGTTAACTGATGTGTAGTTACCAGGAGGGCAGCAGTGGGGAGACAACGTTCCAGAGTGTGGTAAGGCTGGAGCAGATGGGGGGCAAGCCTCTTGTTAACTGCCCCAGTCCTTTGCCTGTGCCTCCTCTTATCCCTTCCCTTCTTGGGAACTTGGGACTCTGAGCCCCAGCTGGTGAGGGAGCGAGGAGAGAGCGACAGGCCAGCAGACCAATGGGTCCCCGAGGTTGGGGTGGGGCGGGGCTTGTGCTGCCATGGAGAAGAGAGAAGCTGTTCTGTGGGGGAGGAGGGGGCGGTGGGAAGAGGACCTGGAGATTGAGGGGAAGGGAGAGAGCAAACAAAGGGGTCAGGAGGGAAAATAATGCACTGGCTTCCTGAGGCCCTGCAGAAGCTGGGCAGGGAGAAGGGGCCAGGGGCAGAGGGGAGCAAGGCTGGCGACAGGCAGGACAGGACAGGCAGGTCCTAAATGGCATTGTTTGAAGTGGCCAGCTAAGTGCACAGAGCAGCCTGAGCCTCAGACCAAGGCCCAGCCTCTTCCTCTGTCCTGGGTGCTGGCGACTGAGCCTTAGGGCAGCCTGGCCACATGGAACCAAGTCCTGAGCCTCTGAGTGTGGTGAGGAGGGCAGGCTATGGGGGGCAGCCTGGGCGGGTCATTGGGCAGGAGTATCACCCTGAGAATATGTCCTAGGGCTTCTCTTGGCCTGAGGATATAGAGCCATAGATGGGAAGTTGGGGGTTATGCTGCCCCTCAAGGCCTTGCTTCACGGCTACTCTATGCATTCTGATCCTTTCTCAGGAAACAATGAAGGGAGACACCAGACAACTCAACAGAGAAGAGGACCCCAGCGGGAGGGAAGACTCCATCATCACCAATGGGGACTGCAGCAACCAGTCTTCAGACTCCAAGGACGCACCCTCGCCCCCGATCTTGGAGGCTATCAGCACCCCGGAGATCAGAGGTGGCTGGGACTGTGGGGAGGTGGGGTGGGCAGACAATGCGGTCCTAAGCTGGGACATGAGCTTCCCTTCGAGTAGGCTGCAGGCACGTTGTAGGGAGTAGGTCTCATCTCTGACAACTGCCACACCTTCCAGGGAAGGGAAGAGGAGGATGTAGGCAGAATCAAGCCCATTTCTCATCCCTGCCGTAGACCTTGACCTCTTTCCTCTCCTCTCTCCTCACCTGAGACTGAGGGGGTGACCCCAGGATGATGATCCCTGTGTTTTTCCCGTCACAGTGGGGGTGGTTGCAGCATAGGCTGAGGACATGGGTGGTGTGGCCCTTCTGCAGTGGAACCCTGCCCCTTGGATCCGGGACTGATGGTATGGGAAGAAAAACACTCAGGATGCAGGGGCTGAGGCCTGCCTCATTTCCGCCCTTCCCTTGCCTCCCAGGTCAGACCTCACTGAGGTCGTCTATCCCACCATGTTGTCTCATTCTATGATTAAGAAATGTGCTGTCCAATGGAACTTTCTGCAAGAGTGAAAGGGTTCTGTTTTTGTATTGTTCACTACAATAGCCACTAGTCACATATGAGCACTTGAAATGTGGCTGATGTGGGAGGCACTGGATTGTTTATTTAAATGTAGTTAGTAGCCACTGAATTGGGCAACACAGTTCTGGAAGGAATTTGATACCTTCTTTCACAAGAATCTTTAGTATTGTTTGGGTCTCATAATGTGCCTGGCCCTGTACATTGTTGCCTTATGAATACATTGAGGCCATTACCAGTCCTGAGTGGCTAGGCGTTAACTCCTGAGGATGCCAGTGGCTTAAGCGAGCTCCCAGGCCATAGCCTAGAGAGCAGACCACAGAGGGCGGTCCATCAGAGGAACACAGAGCTACCGAAAGCCTGGCACTGCCCCTTCCGCAAAACACAGACTCTGGTTCTCTTTCCTCCACAGGCCGCAGATCAAGCTCACGACTATCCAAGAGGGAGGTCTCCAGCCTGCTAAGTTATACTCAGGTACCAGTTAGTTCTGCTCTGCTTTTTCAGCATTCAAGGGAAGTCCCTTTAGCTTTCATTAAATGGGGTATACAAGGCCCACTTAAATTGGTGCCCAATAAATACTTGTTGAATGACGAATCTGAGTACTGCTAGGCACATAGCACTTTAAACAACTTTACACTTAGAATAGCATTTGCTGCCAAATTAAAAATATCACAGCCCTGGCCGGTTTGGCTCAGCAGTTAGAGCATCGCCCACTAACCAGAGAATCTCGGATTCGATTCCTGCTAAGGGCACATACCTCGGTTATAGTTTCCCCCCGGCCCCGGTTGGGGTTGTTTGGGTGGCAGCCACTCGATGTGTCTCTCTCACATCGATGTTTCTCTCTCTCTTCCTCCCTCTCCCTCCTGCTCTATCTGAAGATAGATGCAAAAAAAGTCCTCGGGTAAGGATAAAAAAAAATCATAAACATTTATTTTACTAACTTATGAATTTTTTATTAGCTGCTTTCTGCATAATTTGAAATTACTTTTGTCTCAATATGGATGATCAATTAATTATATTGATGACTTCCTAATGTAACAAATTGTCTTTTTATTTCTGGAATGAGTCCAACTTCATCTCGGTCACATTGTTTTGAATTTGATTGACTTTTTAGCATCTACTCATGAATAAAGGGGATGTATGATTTTATTTCTTATATATCTGTGTCTGGTTTTGATGCACATTGGAGAGAACTTTCCTGGCTCGTTTTAGGGTAGTTTTTAGCAATCACTGTGATATCTTTTAACACTTGCTGACATATCAAGGTTTCTACTTGGTCAGCTTATTCCAAGTTATGGTTTTGTCCCTTACATTATTTAGGCCCTCTGTCTTGTTAATCATCCTAGAGTTTTGTCAATTTGGTTAACTTTTCTCAAAGAAGCAGTGTCAGGCATAAGGGGCAAAGTCATGGATAAAAGTCATGAACAAATGGAAGCTCCCCCTTTTCTACAGTGTCATTTCTGATGGGCACCCAAATCATGGGGGCAGTGCTGGATGAGAGGCTCAGGACAGCTGTTGTGGCGGATAGTTACCAGTAACAGCAGTGAAATCTCCTGCCTGGGCATTTCCTCTCTGCTTGCCTTGGGTGAAGTGTCCACAACCCTGTTGTGTTATAAGGGAAGTACTGTTGTTCCAATCTTATTTTATGAAACCTCACCCAAGGACGTTTTTACTGATTTGAGAGAGAGAAACATCAATGTATGAGAAAAACATTGATCTTGGTTGTCTCCCTGTACGAGCCCTGAAAGCTAGGTATGTGCACCGACTGGGAATTGAACCAGTAACCTTTCGCTGCTTGGATCAACACTCCAACCAACTGAGCCACATTAGCTAAAGCTGTTGTTCCAGTTTTAAAGAGGGAATGCTTTTACGCAAGGCCACACGTTTGGCAAGTGAAAAGACCCCGGCCAGGTCAGACCTCGGGCCGTGCACCACTGATCGATCTTCTTTCTGTGCTCAGTTGTTTTTTAATCCTCATCTGAGGATATTTTTATTCCATTTATCTTCAGATGAGTGGGAGGGAGGGAGGGAGAGAACAGGAGAGAGAGAGAAAGAGAGAGAGAGAAACAGAGAAACATTAATGTGAGAGACAAACATCAATTGGTTGCCTCCCACATGATCACGATCAGGGCCAGGGACCGAACCACAGCTGAGGTATGTGCCCTTTACTGAAATCGAACCCATGACTCTGGTCCGTGGGCTGACGTTCCAACCATTGAGCCAAACCAGTCAGGGCTCTGTGCTCAGTTTTTGTTGCATTTTGCTGTGCAGCTTTGGACATGCACTAGGAGGTTCTTTATCACTTGACACAGAAGTGGTGTCTTTTCTTCCTGTTCATTGTATCAAGAAGCTACAATTTCTCCCAGACCCTGAAAACTGACCTGCTAGGCATAGCCAAAGCAGTATAAGATGTAGACAGAGAAATCTTCACAATGCATGTTGCCATCAAACCACTTCTTTCGTTTTCTGATTCCACTGGGATTTTATCTTTCAATCATGTCTTGAATTCATGATCCTGTGGTGTGTGCCTTTGTAAAATAATTTTGGAACAAAATGAGGTAGTTGAAAATATGTTTAGGTCTCTTAGACCAATATTAAGCTGGTTTTCAATACGATCGGCTGTTTAAACTATTTTGGTTATATGACCTGTTATGATATTCTGAAGCTCACAGTGTTTCTTTATAAAGGACCTGACGGGTGACGGAGATGGCGAAGGGGACGACGGAGATGGCCCTGACACTCCAGCCATGCCAAAGCTCTTCCGCGAAACCAGGACTCGATCTGAAAGCCCAGCTGTAAGTCCCCACACCTGCGCCAAGGCACCACCTCCAACGTCTCATAGGCCCATATAAACAAACATGTTTGGATCTCCTGGGGGTACTTTGAAGAGAGGTGAACAGATGTTTCGAAAATTAGAAAAATGACAGCAAGACTCATGATCTGTCCTTGTGAAGGCTCTTTTTCACATGGTAGTTTCTAAACACTTAAAGCACTCTTGGAAGTGCCCAAGGGTGATAGAGTTGGCAGGTGGTTGGCTCAGTGTCAGTTACCTATGCGAGTCACTTCTGTGGATGGATTATACGACAGAGGTCTGGAAAGGGGGAGACATGTATTACTGTAGGTAACCGAGTGCATTAGAGAGCCAGCTAACACTTTGCAACCATTGCAGGCGCAGTTTATAATCACACTCTACTCAAGGATATGTGTATCATCCCCTTTTTTACAGATGAGAGAAGATTCTGGTAATTTACCAAAGGTTCATCATTAACTCTTGTGTAGGATTCAAACACAGGTCTGAAACTCCCAAGTTCATGCCACTTTAAGAAGCCTAAGGGCTTCTCATCCGTCTTGAGGCTCCACTACCTTCCTAAAGAATGCAATAATTATTCTAATGGTTTGGGGGGGAATATTTGGTTTAGAGTAAACTTGGATTTTATTTTTCAATTCAGTTTGCAGGTACCAGTTTCAGCTGTGACAGGCAGTGGGGCCTGCTGTGGATTGTCCGTCAGCCCTGCTGGCTACCCTGACCCCTTCTCACAGGAACTGGGAGTTTCTCTGGGCGGAAGTTACCAGTCTAGAGTCACCTCCCCACCCTCACTTACCCACCTCATGCACTTCTGTTGACCTGAGGCTACCTCTCAAGCCCAGTCTTCTCAGCACCTGCTCAAGGCCACCTGCCTGCAGTCACCAAAGGCCACTTGCTTATCCTCTTACTTCTAGGTCCGAACTCGAAATAATACCAGTGCCTCCGGCCGTGAGAGGCACAGGCTCTCCTCCCTACGTTCCACCCGAGGCCGGCAGGGCCGCAATCACGTGGAGGAGTCCCCCGTGGAGTTCTCAACTACCAGGGTTGGTTTCCGGATGCTCAGACCCTTGTCCCAGACTCTAATTGCAAAGTCTCACTGCACCACCAACAGTAGCCGGTGTATAACCCTAACCCGTTTCTGTTCCTCACATTCCTCTCCTTTTCAGGGTCTTGCCTTTCCTTTCTCTCCTGGGTGCTGGGTACGCTTCTCTTAAGCCTGATGACTTCTGACCTGACCCTGGATGGAACTGTGGTGGGAATGCAAGAATGACCTGTTGCCTGGGTTCTTGTTCTTCCTCGGAAATGAGCTCAACCACTGACTTCCAGAACTGTCTTTTCTCCCTGGTTTCTTCATTGGCTGTCTTGAGGCAGTCCAGATGTAATAGCAACCTTCCACTCCTGGTGCGAGGTTGGACACAGTAAGCACTTACGAAGTCAGTGGTCCTCTCTGAGCTTGGCTCTGCGTTTCTCAGCATCACTAATCATTATTGTGCCTTTGTCCTCAACTGTCTGTTTGGGTGGAAGTGGCTTTGCTTTCCCCCACCACTTAACGGATACTTGGTGCTGGCAAACCAATCTTACTGATCTCTGCACTCATTTCTGCTTGGCGGGGAAACAGTTGGGGGTGCCACTGGTCTCTGATCATCCATCTGGTTTGCTGTGGCCCAAACTATGTGTCCTTCTGTCCACAGTCCCTGAGGCGCCGGGCAGCATCATCGGCAGGCACGCCGTGGTCATCCCCTGACAGCCCCTACCTCACCATCGACCTCACCGATGACGGTGTGGTGCCCCAGAGCAGCAGTACCCCCTACACCCGCCTGGCTCAGGACAGCCACCAGGAGAACTTGGACTCCCCACAGGTGTATGCAGAGGGCAGAGATGCAGATGGCACGGAGTATCAGGTACTGCTAGGAAGGGATGCATTCAGGAGAAAAGCAGACTATTACCCACAGGGGACTATGGGGACTATTACTACAATTTTTGTCACTTTTGGCATAATATTTGAATTCATCCTTCAAGTATATTTCCCACGTATAACATGATCCTTTACTCCACTTATCTACATATCTCAAGCACCCGATTCCTGATTTTCTGAACATTACATATTTATACTTTATACATAATACATGATTCTGTTAATCATAGTATACATACAATTGTTTATCGGCTTTTCACTTATTAGCAACTAGAGTCTTCTCACTTTCACATCTATAATCCATTGTTTTCTATAATCTGTCTAGTGTTCATAATCAAGCTGAACTTGTTTTCACTCCAACATTGCTGCCTACCTAGTACATGTGTATGTACATCTGTTAGGTAGAATGCTTTGTTATATGTACTTCAGAGTAGATCATGTATACTTTAACAACTGGCTTATTTCTCTGGGTACCTCCCATTTTATGGCAAGCTATGTGAAAATGGCCAAAATTATTACTCTAATTTTTGAATTTCAATGGCTTTATGACAGCCCCTCTGATGGCCTGTGGTGGGAATTTTCAACTGATTGTCATTATTATACTCTGATCTTATTTTCTGTGAGTTTTCAGTTGATAACTTTCATTTAGGTTAAATGTTTTAGTTGATTTTTCCAGAGAGAGACAGGCAGGAAGGGAGAAAGAAACAGCAAGCTGACCTGGATTCGAACCAGGACCTCTCAGTCCATGGGACAACGCTCAATCCACTGAGCCACGTGGGCTAGGCCAACTTTTTTTTTTTTTGAGAGAAACATTGGTTTGATCCACTTGTTTATGTATTCATTGGTTGTTTCTTGTATGTGCCCTAACCAGATATTGAACCCGCAACAACTCTTTAACCTGGCAGGAGCCCACTGCTCCTTATTTTAAAGCCATTCTAATTCATAGTTTTTCAACCATGAAATGTTGGAGGTGCGTAGACAATGTACTGAGGTCTGCCATGCACTTGAAGGAAGCCCTGAGTGCCATCGGGGTCAGTGGGCTAGGAGTTCTCCTTGGTCCCGGCTGTCTTGTCTCACTAGCATTCCTTCATGTGATTTTTCTTCCAGGATGGGAAGGAGTTTGGAATAGGAGACCTTGTGTGGGGAAAGATCAAGGGATTTTCCTGGTGGCCTGCCATGGTGGTGTCTTGGAAGGTCACCTCTAAGCGCCAGGCCATGTCTGGCATGCGGTGGGTCCAGTGGTTTGGTGATGGCAAGTTCTCTGAGGTGAGTCCAGGGTGAGACAGGCTCTCCTGAGCCTGCAGCCCTACAGCATTTTCTGTCCTTTACTTTTGCTGTTGCCTTGTTCCTGTGCCTTGCTTTTTCCAGATGTTGAGGCTATGTTTGACTCTGTATCTAGGAGGAATAACAAATCTTCCCTTTTTAATTGGCTTAAACAGACACACACAGGGTCTTGGGTGACCCAAACAAAGCTCAGTCTACTCTTAAAGGAGACAGAACTGGAAAGTGCTCAGAACCCTTGCCCGCTTGGTCTCCATTGGTTTTCTTTTCTCTGGGGCAGAAACAAGAAGGGTTGGTGTCTCCCTCTGAACCTAATTAAGCCCTGGAGAGGTAGCAGAGAGATACCTCTGACTAGCCCTAGAAATGGGTCTAGAGTTGCCTGGTGACAGTAATAAAACGTGTGCAGTTGGTTATTTCAGGGCTTCTTGATCATTGATGTTAGCCTCTTGAAGTTCATCTGTCTTGAGCATCTGCCCGTAGGAGTGGGTTAGACAAGTGAATTAGGATCTTTTGATTCTTATATTTAGTTTGAAGGCATATTCTGAAATCTCCAGATTTTTAATGGAATGGTATAGACAATAGTTTTGTGATGGTCTTGTTTGAAAAGTTCATCTAACCGTCACTGCCCAGAGATTAGGTGAGTACACAGAAGCAAGTTGGGCCAGGATGGAGGCAGATGTGGGAACGAAGGACCACCTAATACATTTTGTGAGATTTAACCTCAAGTAGAGGTTCTGATTTTACTGTGAATTGTGCTTCCGTTGGGCCATTTGCCATAAACACATTGAAGTTCCCAAAAGGCAAATAAATCTCCCTGAATGCTGATGCCCTCCTTGGCCAGCAGAGGGAGCAGAAGGACAGATAGTAGGCCTCTGTTCTTCCTGAAGTATCTGAATACAGGGATAAAGGCAATGATTCCTATGAAATGAAAAAACATGGATTGTTTATTGTTTTGGGTTAGGGAGACTTAAAATGTGCATTGCAAGACTAGGTCTGATGCTAATAAGATGAGGTGTGTAGAATTTCCTGACCACAGGGATACCTGCCCTTGTGGGACCTCATGCTGGAGATGCAAAATGGATGTGAGGGAGCACATCCCCTGGAGAATGAAGCATCATGTGTGTCTCTCAGTCTGAACAGTACTCCACCCAGTTTCATCCCTTTCCACTGACAGCCTGAGTGGTCCCTTCATGGCTTGGGGCTTGGAGCTTGAGACTATGGATCTTTGGCCCCAATGGAAGGTAGATTTCAACAAACACAACAGGGAAAAAGTGCTTACTCTGTGCCAAGCACTGTTCTCTAAACACATACCAAGTTCAATGAACAAATTAATAAAAGGCTAAGTAGTAATCACAGCTATTTGTCCCAATCACAAAGGAAAGAAAGAACGTGTGAAAAACCCAATGTTGGACCATCCACAGAAAATTTCAAGAGTGAGCCTCAAGGGGCATACACCAGGCACCGTGTGGCTCATTTGCTCTTAAAATGTATACAAATACAGGGTGTATCTAATTGTATCTACTCTGAGCAGTGTTCTTTCTCACACTGGGAGTGTCACCCACCATGCCTTTGCCTATGGGGCACAACAGAAGTATGTGTACACACACACACACACACACATTTTTATTTATTTTCTATTTTCTGCTTTTTTTCTTTGAATCTGACTTGACCCCCTGGAGTAACCCTGTGAGAGACAGGGCACCCCAGATGCAGGCTGTAGGTGGATGTTGATGATGTCTTTCTCTTTTAGGTCTCTGCAGATAAGCTGGTGGCCTTGGGGCTATTCAGCCAGCATTTTAATCTGGCGACCTTCAATAAGCTGGTCTCTTATAGGAAGGCCATGTACCACGCTCTGGAGGTAACACGGTGGTGGGTGGTGAGGGCCTGGCAAGAGGCATACAGAAAGCCAGCTCAGGGCATAGTGTAACCAGGGATGGCTTGGAAAGGACAGGGCCACCAGACAGGAGGTGGATGCAGACATGTTGGCCGAATGGACCAGACTGGGAAGGAAAAAAGGAATTTGAGACTTCCCCATGATTCTGAGTACTACTTCAGCTTCTACCTGGTGGCTGTCTCATTATTTCCAACTGAATGAGGAAAAGGGAGCACTGGAAAAGTTGGGGACAATGTTCACAATAGTGAATATCTTTTTCCAGAGCCATCAAAACCCCCTTTAAGTGGTGTTGTTTGAGGCCAACACTGGGCAGTAGCTGAGACCAGCTGCCTTTCTTCCCTTGTCTGTGGGATCCATCATCAGGCTCCGTCTTTACCTTGACTCAAAACTGAAAAGATCAGTGACCTTTGTCCAGCATTTATGAGCCAACCTCTGTGCTTAGCCAGGAATCCTCATGGTGCTTCTGGAATAGGACTTAGCACTGGACACCTCCCCACCTTTATTTATTAGGAAAGTAAAACAGATCTGGAGTTTTCTTAGGGTTGATGATACTTCTCCTATATTTACAAGTAGCAGAGCTAATTCTGATCCTCTGCCCTTTGAGAGGGAAGAGGCCATGTTTGAGGCCTGCAGGGAAAGACTTCACTCTTCCCCCATGGCCTCCTGCCTTTCTCCATGCACAGGCCCCTCCTCCCTGTCACATTCCATATGCAGGACAGCTGCCAGGCTAAGAAAGGTCCCAGTATGAAGGGGAATGCAGGCCCCATCTGGGGGAATCCCTGGGTGTGGCCTGGCAAGCACCCACCCCTGCTGTTCATCACAGACTCGCCTTTATCTCACCAGAAAGCCAGGGTACGGGCTGCCAAGACCTTCCCTAGCAGCCCCGGAGACTCGTTGGAGGACCAGCTGAAGCCCATGTTGGAGTGGGCCAATGGGGGCTTCAAGCCCACTGGGATCGAGGGCCTCAAACCCAACAACAAGCAACCAGGTGGGAATGGGTCCCTGTGGTGGCACTGACTGTCATTGCTGGTGGGAGCACCCTAGGGAGATGCAGCCACCCCTGCTGCCCTCACCCCACCCCAACTTTCCAGCAACCAGTCATTCTTGAAGACCTGCTCTTTCACCCTGTGAACCCCTAGGCCTCAGGGAAAACAGAACAGCCCTTTCCTGCCTCCCTGGTCTGAGATTGATTCAGTTCTGAAAACTTGAGCCAACAGGAGAACAAGATGGAATCTTCACGAATACCTTTACTTTTAAAAGGAAAAATTAAGTTCTGCTCCTGGGAGAAAACGTAGAAAGTATTTTTAAAAGACAAACACCAAAAACCTGAAAACCATAAGCCAACTCCAAAAGAGGCATCACCTATCCCAACATTTTGACCGAGAGCATAATTCCTCCATTATCAGAAATGTGTAGTCTCACACTGTCACTTTCTGGAAACCCAGGATTTGTGTTAAAATTTGTACATTTTTAACATAGTGTTTTCTGTTTTGTTTTGTCTTCCCCACCCATTAAAAGTGGTTAATAAGTCGAAGGTGCGTCGTGCAGGCAGTGGGAAATTAGAATCAAGGAAATACGGTATTCCCTTCCCATCTTTTGACTATGCACTATCTTCTCTGCACCTTCTTACAATTTCTTTACCTCTGCAATGGTCACTGGAAAAGAAATCTCAGCCTGAACTCTCCTCCACCCTTCCCTCTCCACCTTCACGAGCCCGCCGTCCAGGTTAACCTTGTTGGGTGTGCACATCCTTCCAGCTTTCTCTGTACACTGGTCAGATTCCTGCTTTCCCTTTATTTCTCAGTATTAATCATGAGCACTGTCAAATGTTACTAAGGAGTCCTAATGATTTTTAATGGCTGCATAATTTTCTTTCCTAGGGGCAGAGTCAAACTTAACCATGTCCCTTATAGATTACACTGTATGTATATACATATACATATGTATTGGACCTAAAATATAAAATATAAGTGGAATTTAAAGGAATGTAAAGAATTGCCATGATAGAATTTTAGAATATTCTAATAGCCACACTGGGAAGAATAAAAGAAACAAAGGTGCAGTTAATATTAATTATGTTTAATTTAATCTAATATTTCCAACATTCAAGCATTTCTAACATCACGATTTGGCCGTGAAATTTGTTAGAAATACCTGATCTATATTTTCACAAATGTCTAAGTTCCAAATTTTCACTTGAGTAATCAATCAATAGTTTCAAAAATTTACATTAAAATGTAATGTAAAATGCAGTTTCTCAGTCACACAAGTTACATTTTAATTGCTCAATAGCTTCATGTGACTATCGGGCACTGTGTTGAGCATCATAAATAAATGGTTTAGGGTTTCAGCTGTGGATTAGCCTTTAAGGTTCTATGTGCTGGGTCTAAACACCTAAAGCTGTTTAAAACCCTATAAATATGTTACATATGTGAAGGGTTTTGAATTATGTTCCATAGTGAGACCATGTGATACCCAGTGTGGACCCCCGTCAGGGTCCAAATGCACCTGGCACCCAGGCCCAGCATGGTCTTGTCGTAGGCCCACGCTGTCCCTGCACCTCCTACCAGCCCCGACTGCCATCTCCTTCCCTTTCGCAGAGAACAAGACTCGAAGACGCACAGCCGATGACTCGGCCACCTCTGCTGACTACTGCCCCCCACCCAAGCGCCTCAAGACAAACTGCTTTAACAATGGCAAAGACCGAGGAGAAGAGGACCAGAGTCGAGGTGAATTTTGGGGAATAGGAGGCTGGGGGACTGTTAACACCCATTACCAGGAGGGGCAGGTTGTGCTCAGCAACCGGGTGGCTTAATTGATCAGTAAGAGGTTCCCGGATCCCATCTCACACCTTCTTTTCTCAACAGAGCAAATGGCTTTGGACGTTTCCAACAACAAGAGTAGTCTGGAAGGTAATGCTCTGCCTCACCGTCCTCACTTCCCATCCTTGGTAGTGCTCCAGGCCTTCAATGCGGGTCCACCCTGCCGGGGTTTAACCCACCACAGCTCTGTGCCTTGGCCTCGGGTTCGGGTGTAGACATCCTAGTTGTTGCATTTTATAGAATGAGTTGCCTGATTTTTATGAAGACTGATTCTGCCCCTAATCTAAGTGAGCAGGAGGGGAGGGCACTAGAGCCCTTTGGCGGGAGAACCCGAGACCTAGGGCACTGTGAGTCTTCCCAAACAACTGAATTGGCTTTGAGGTGAGTGGCTCACACGCTTCATTGCTGTCATTCTTTCAAGCTAATTGGAGTGGAAACTATGCCCAGAACGTTATCTAATGGGATTCAGAATGTGTGAGGATGGGTTGACTTTTTTCTTTGCTTCCTCTCCTGATGTCCTACAGTCACCAAATATTTGTTGAAGTATTTATTGAGTGGTTACCCTGAGCTGGGTAGGAAAACAACCCAGCTCCTGACCCAGAGAACCACAGGGAAAACTTGTTTTGGAGCAGCCCCTGGCATTCCTGGGAGCCTTGACCCATAAACCTTCCATCTCCAAGGCTCCTTTGCTTAGCTGTCTGCTTCCTGGCTGGGATGCTTGGTCTTCAAATTTTATTTTAACTAACTTTATTTTATTAACTTTTTAGAGAGAGGGGAAGGGAAAGAGATAGAAACATTGATTAGCTGCCTTCAGCATGCCCCTCACTGGGGATTTAGCCCACAACCCAGGCATGTGCCCACAAGTGGGGATTGAACTGGGATCACTCAGTCCATGGGAAGACGCTCAATCCACTGAGCCTCACTAGCAGGGCTGGTCTTCACATTTTAAAGGCCTCACCCAGCTCATGTAGCTCAGGGGTTGAGTGTTGACCCATGCACCAAGAGGTTGCCTTTAGATTCCTGGTCAGGGCACATGCCCAGGTGTGGACCTGATCCCCAGTGGGGGGCATGTAGGAGGTGGCAATCAGTGTTGTCTCTCATTGATATTTCCTGCTCTCCCTCTCTCTCTGAAATCAATAAAGAAAAAAGACTTGGGTTCTGAAATTGCTGTGTGCAGAATATGGTCACTGGTTATTACTTACATAATTTGACAGTAAGTTGGGTTACCACAAATTGTCCAGTCCTGGTCTTTAAAGCGTCTCAAAGATTTTTGTACCAGGCCTTCCGACTGCTTTGTGCTGGAGGGCACCTTGCTCAGTGTTATGACCCATGTCTGGAGATAACGCTCAGCTCAGAAGCATTGTTGATGGGAATAAAGCATGAAGAGTCCTTGGTATATTAAGCATGGAGTTAAGACTTAGACCCAAGGCTTTAGCAACTGGTATTGGGTCCTGAACTGTCGCAAGCTGTGTCATGTCTTTTTTACAGACAGCTGTTTATCCTGTGGTAGGAAGAATCCTGTGTCCTTCCATCCTCTCTTTGAGGGTGGGCTCTGTCAGACATGCCGGGTAAGTCCTGCCCCCTTCCCTCCTCCACACCTTCCCTGTAGTTCCCTAGAGGAAAGCACCTGCATGTAGCCACTAGGGAAAGTTCTAGTGAAGCCTTCCCTGGCCCCCATCACTCCCCCCTCCCCTTTGAGGGTGCTGCCACAGCAGAGGCCATATGCAGTGGCACAAACACCCAGCCCCTTGTTCCCGGAAAAGGCACCAAGCCACTAGGAACCTGTCCTGCGAGCAAGCAGGTCCCAGTCGTCCCTGGTCTATGATTTCACGAGTGTTTCTTTCTCTCTGGCCACCAGGACCGGTTCCTCGAGCTGTTCTACATGTACGATGATGATGGCTACCAGTCCTACTGCACCGTGTGCTGCGAGGGGCGTGAGCTGCTCCTGTGCAGCAACACAAGCTGCTGCCGGTGAGCATCAGCCAGATGCATGGATGAGTCCCAGCTGGTTCCTGAGGCTCCCAAGTCCTACCAGCGATTCCTAGAGCCCCCAAAATCTCAGGCACAGGGACTGGGAGTCAAATGGACCTGGGCACAGGGCCCAGAGTTACTACTCTGCAGGGGTCATGGTTCTCATCTGTTTAAGACAGAAATGTCAGGGTGGGTAGTGGGTGTGGAAGGCTCCCTGGAGATTAGCAACTTCTGGGGGTAGAGACCTTTCTGTGCAGAGCCTGTGGCACAAGTGTGCACAGATATGCAAGGAAGAAGTTAGTGGAGCACACATGACCCTGTAGGGCCTTCCACCCCATGGGGAGGAACAACTGGAGCCCTGAGAAGGTTCTAGACATAGTACATGGCCATCTACTTGGGGAAGCTAAGTATGCAGGAGAAAGGCCTGATGTCGAAGGCCTCCCTTTCTGCTCTGGGCACAGGTGCTTTTGTGTGGAGTGCCTGGAGGTGCTGGTGGGCTCGGGCACAGCCGCAGATGCCAAGCTGCAGGAGCCCTGGAGCTGCTACATGTGCCTCCCGCAGCGCTGTCACGGGGTCCTGCAGCGCCGGAAGGACTGGAACGTGCGCCTGCAGTCCTTCTTCACCAGCGACACGGGTCTTGAATACGTAAGCCTGTAGCTCCCTTCACCCCGCCCCAGAGAGTCCGGTCCGGTATGCTCTGGAAGTCTGTTGGCAAGATTTCATAGAAAGATCCATTATACTAAGGCCTGACTGAGCACCTTCTACTTGAGAGACCGGGCTGATTGACATGTCCTGTGCACAGTCCTCAGGCTTCTCCAGTGGTTTCCCTCCCCTCCTTCATGGCCTGTCATTGGTTTTCAAGGGCCTGCTGAAGAAATGGTTTAGACCTAACCAGGTCTTCTGAGTTAGAAAGGAAGAGGGAAGAGAAGCCTGTGACTAAATCTTAAATTGTAGTGGGCATGGATTTTCCTGGACTTTATTCCTCAGATCTGTGAGGCAGCCCTAGGTCATTCCTGTTAGGGTGACATGTCCTTTTATGCATGTGTGTCTGTCTCAGAGTCTCTGTGTTCCATGTCTTAAGGGTAGAATTGAGTGGTCACTGCCAAAGCTCCTGAGGGGATCCTAGCTAAGAAGTGGCCGAACGCAGACAGGGCTTGAGCCTCAGAGGAAGGAAGGTCAGAGGTTGAGCCTTTCCCCTGCACCTTGACCTCCATGACCTTCTTTAACCTGGCAGGAAGCCCCCAAGTTATTCCCTGCGATTCCTGCAGCCAGAAGGCGGCCCATTCGAGTCTTGTCCCTGTTTGATGGAATTGCCACAGGTGAGTTTGGAGTTCACCTTGGGATGCTCACCTGGTCCAGGTGTCTGTCCTCAGTGCCAAGCAAGACCCTTGGGATTATCTGTGTCTCACCTGTTTTGAGAAAACCAATGGCTTCTTTCCTTAAACCTCCACCATTAGTTCACCCACTTGGCCCCTCTTGGTCCTTTTTAGTCATATATTCATATTTCAGCTGTTGCATTTTATTTTTTATTATATGTAGATATCTTGGAAAGTTATTTATTCCATAAGGATGGACATATTGGAGATTAACAGACAACTCCTCCTACTGATATCTCCCTTTTCCCCTCCCATTGCCCCGGTTTCCACCCGTGTAGAATAGCATAGCACATGCATGTCACCCTGGGAGTTTTCCCTGATTTAACTCATTTAATCCTCAAAATTGCCCTTTAATATATTCTTGTGAATATCTCCATTTACCCGTGCAGGAAGCAGTGGGAATGAGGTGTATGCATTTAGCATCATTTGTACTTGTGTGTGTCCATCGGTGTCCGCCTGCCTAAAGCACTGGCCACTTTTAAGGACTCTCAGGTCATGGCCAGCTCCTGGTTTTCCCCACCCTGTTGGGTCCTAAAGACCTGTTTATGATGGCACAGGTAACCTACAGGAGAAAATGGAGCCTTGGCATTGTCCCCAGACTTTGAGGTTATTTTCTAAACTTGGTTTTGGTGAAGATCCCTGTCCTTATGTCTGTGCTTAACTATGTTGGGGTGGTGGGTGCTGGGCATTGACTGTAGTTCTGTTAGTTTCAATCAGTCCTTCCAGGGGGCCTTACCAGTTGATACATATTTTCTTCACAACTCCACACTCTGCAGAGCCTGGTGCTGCCGCTGTGCAGGTTGTGTGCCATCAGCCAGGGGTTCACTTGAGGCCTCCATGCCCTCGTTGGGTCTAGTTTCAGTTCTGGATATCACTGGAGGCAGGGTGACCCTGAGTGCATTTTGTCTCCCCACACAGGGTACTTGGTCCTCAAAGAACTGGGCATCAAAGTAGAGAAGTATGTTGCCTCTGAAGTATGTGAAGAGTCCATCGCTGTTGGAACTGTTAAGCATGAAGGCAATATCAAATATGTGAATGACGTCAGGAACATCACAAAGAAAAATGTGAGGGCAGTCTGCACCCCTGTTTCCTGGGGCCTCTGGAACACCCTCTCCTCCTCCAGACCCTGAGCCCCACACATCCTCACAGCCATGCCCCGGGTTGTGGGAAAAGAGAATCTGTGGTCACATCAGGCAAGCTTTCCTGACAGGTTACTCGGAGCCCAGGCTGTAGTCCCTCTGTCCTATCCTCACTCCTGGCCTTCTCTGAGCCTGACTGTTTTTCTCTCACAGATTGAAGAATGGGGACCCTTTGATTTGGTGATTGGTGGAAGCCCGTGCAATGATCTCTCAAATGTGAACCCCGCCAGGAAAGGACTGTACGGTAAGCATCCCTTCATTGTGGTGGACTCAGGAGCCTCTCTGTCACCTGAGTGTTGGTCCAGCGGTGGCCTGAGAAGGAGCTCTTTGCTTCCTGCTAGTCTTACCTGTTGGCTTTGTCCAGCCCCATCGTGAGTCTTTAGTCCCCCGAGATACTTAATTACTGCACTGCTCGATGAAGCACCCTTAGTCAGGTGATCACTGGGAACCCATTGGCTACAATGTGAAGGGGTGGGTTTGACCACAGCCATCCATCTTTGTGTACCCAGAGGGCACAGGCCGACTATTCTTCGAGTTCTACCACCTGCTGAATTACTCACGACCCAAGGAGGGTGACGACCGGCCCTTCTTCTGGATGTTTGAGAATGTGGTAGCCATGAAGGTTGGCGACAAAAGGGACATCTCTCGCTTCCTGGAGGTGAGGGCATTCTGTCTAGGTGCCTGATGGTCAAGACTACATGAGTGGGGAGGCCTTGCTGGGGGTGGCGTTTCCATGTTGGAAATGATTTCTGGGTTTTTGACCGAAGGCCTGGCTACAGTTAAGAGTAATGGATTCAAGTTGGTGATTCTCTTTTATTCAGTCTTTTTCGGTACAAATATTTTTGAAAAAATGATTTGATCTCTAATTTTATTTTAAACCCGTTGAAGTCAGAGATTATGAAACCATCACTTACTTTTGGAGGCCTCATGAAATTTGACTAAGTTTTTTACTCTAGAGTTTTTTCTCACCCTTTTTCTGAGAACTGCTTCCTTAGGGTCCCCAGGCAAGTTCATTATCCACTTCTTAATATGCATCAAGCATTCTAGTAAGTACTTTTTATGTTTCCTAGAGCTTTACAGCTTAAGTTCTGTTTGAACAGTTATAACAGGCTACTCAGTGCTCTCATGCTGAGTGAACCGACAGAGGGGTGGCACGGGCACATGTTGCCAACACTGCATTCCCGCAACCAGGAACTTGACTTGCCAGATTTTGGTTTTGAGCTGCTTTTGCCACCTGTACATTCCGTAATGATTTTGTGTGCCCCAGGCCATACCTTCTCAGAACCTGCAGATCTGATCTGGGCTCTTTCCCCACCATTAACATGGGGCCACTGGCTATGTCCCCTAGCCAGACTCTTGCTGGGAATTGGTCTGTCCCTTAGCTGTCAGGAATCCTGTATCCTCCATTGCCAGGGAGCAGCCCTGCCTGCCCAGAACAAGTCCCCCACTCTGGGTGCTACCTGGATTCTGCTGTGGTCTCCTAGCAGCTAGCTGTTCTTCTCTCTCCCTACAGTGTAATCCAGTGATGATTGATGCCATCAAAGTGTCTGCTGCTCACAGGGCCCGATACTTTTGGGGTAACCTGCCTGGGATGAACAGGTAACAAGGGGCTCTGAGTGGGACAGGTAACAGCCAAGTGAAATGCAGCTAATAATGTGAGCTCTGATTGCTTTACTCTTGTAAGACAGAGCCATGCTTGAGTATTCTACAAGGAGTTGGCTTTGCTGAGAAAAGGCCCCACCCTGGGCTTCAGCCCAACCCTTAGTTTATGGATTGACATCTGTTAAGATGAACAACTACCTGGGAATCTCAGGCCAAGATTCCTCAGTCTGCTCCAACTTGTTTCCTCCTCTGCTCAGGGGCCTGGTTCTTACAGTGCTCTGTGCTGGAGCAGATGGATGTCTTCTGCCAGCCAGGGATGGTGATGCTTTATATTCCACCTCTTCTCCCAGTTGCCTGTCCCATTGGGAAACGGCAGGAGATTGTTAGACATGCCTTTCTCCCCGAGGTGAAGTGACCCCTGGAGCGGGCCTGTGGTGAGCAAACAGGTGGCAGAGTTGAGATGACAATTGGTAGCTCTGTCTGCCTATCTGCCTTGGATTTTCTTAACCAAGAGCTTTTCCCACCTTTTTACTAGTTTTGTCATATTACTAAGGATTAATTATCTTCTATATTTTGTTATAGGGCCATTGTGGTATTCTAATTAAGATACAAAATGTGATGGTAATTTGACATCCCAGACTTGCAAATGAATTAAGCTTAAAAACATTCTCCTTAAGAAGAAAGTGTTGGGAGCATAAATAAATCTGGCATTTAGCAAAATGTGGACGGAGGCGAGAAAATACCGGAGTAGCTGGGAGGATTTCTTTTTGGGTATCTTGAATTTTTATTTGGCTAGTCACTCAGTCAAATGGTGCAGTGCCATGTTTGGAGTAAAGTGGACTAACTCACTCAGTGTTTGAGCTCTCATTCTGTGGCGGTCCCTGTTGTACGCGGTGCCAGTTTGGCGGTAAACACATCAGATGTAAGGCTTCTCCTGGAGTTTGTGGGAGTGGGAGATGGGTTGAGAAGACAGTAAAGGATTCCAGGGTCATGGCTGGAGGGGGAGGTGCTTTGGAAGAGTTGATGGGGAAGCTTCTCATTCTAGGAAGGACCTGAATGTAGGAATGGAGCCACAGTTATTTGAGAACAGTCTAGGCAAAGGGAAGAGGGTGAGGGGTTCAGCTGGGAGTTGGCATTCACAGACCGGTTCAGAGAACAGTGTTCCATATTCGGGGAGCGGCTTTGATAGGAAGACAGAGAGCTCAGGCGTATGGGCTGAATTATGTGGGCCTATGGATCATGGTACCACTTAGATTTACTTTGGGATTTACGGGAAATTTTAAGCTGATGAGTTGTGTCCTAGATTCATAGTAGTTTCTAGCAGAGTAGATGACAGTGGGATACGGGCAGAAATGAAGAGAAATGTGTGAATGTCTTCAGAGGAAGAGGGCTGACTGATGATTGCGTGGTGCCCCAGAAGGTGCCATCCAGAAATAAAATGCACCCCAGGGAATTGCAGGTCCCTGGAGTTCTGTGGAATTTAGCAGGAGGAATTAGATTCTAGATCATGAGTGTTGGACTTAAAGGACTTGCTGCCTTGGATGAGCTGTGATATAAGATGAAAATAAGACTCAGCAAAGATGCCATGGAGTTTTCTGTCTGAGCTGTGATAAGAACCAAGTTGTAGCACTACATCCTGCTCTGCAGGGTTCTAGAACGACTCACATAAACCAGGGATCAGAGACCCAAATCCAGCCGGGAGGTGGAAAACGTTGGTTTGTTTAGATCTAAATCGTAGGCAAGGCTGTGCTGTGTCCTTTCCCCCAAGTCCTTTGGGTTTACATGAAAAGCTGGGAATGGGGATCATGGCATTGGAAATATGGCAGGTGAGGTCAAGGAAGAATGGATCTTGGGGATTGTTTTGTGTGATTCAGTGACCCCTCTGTGGGCACCGTTTCCATTCTTATGTCTGGTTTGTAACCTTGGGGCTCCTTACACAGGAGATGACAAGGTGTTGATCAACTGTGTATTCAGAGCTCATGATGGTTTCTACCCTGGAACTGCTCAACCACGTTGGGGTCTAAAGCTCTATTCCCCTTCTGGGCACCTGTTTGTCTTTCTCTGCATTTGCTGGTTTGTTTGATGATGAAAGTTACAAGGCTAATTAGTCTTTTATGAGCCACCTCCTGTTGTTCCTAGCTGCACCCACTTGTCCCTAGACCCCCCTGTCATTGCATCCATAGCATTAAGCCACCAAATTCTGGCTTTGATATGCTCTTTGTAGCAGGCAGACTCACAAAGATCTAATTCAAGCTCCTGAGACATGAGGTCTGGTGTAACTTACTTAAGGTCATCACTCAGTTAGCTGTGGGGCTGGGATCAGAGGGATCTCCTGCCTCTTCCAGTGTGCTCCCCCCATTCTGCTCTACTCAATGGGAGCCTGGCTTTGACTAATGTTAAAATTTGAGACAGGCAAGCATTTATTCCTAGACCTTGGGCTTGTCCCTTCAAGGTGCTGGTCTGTCCCAGGCATCAGCACACAGCTCTGTGCTTATGCCAGGAGCACATTTTGCAGTCTTAGGCCCTCAGTCCCACCTTGTGAGTTGCCTAGCTGAGGCCCATTGACAGGTGGTAGAAAGTAATGGGTTTTGGCTGTTCCCAGGCCCGTGATAGCATCAAAGAATGATAAACTCGAGCTGCAGGACTGCTTGGAGTTCAATAGGACAGCAAAGGTAAGATGTGCTCACAGTCTGCGGGAAACGCACTTGGTGACACTTGGTGACCTCCAAGCGGGGACTTGACCTTGGTCTAGTTTGTTCCTGCCCCTCCTCCCATGTGACTCCCTGGTGCTGGGCCTCTTACCCCACATAATTGTTCTGTCCTGCCTGTCAGGTACAGAGTAGGAGAGGTTCTTGATAAACAAATAGTAACCATATGAGAAAAGCAACTAGCTTTTCAGATTGTGATGCACACGCCATAGAGACACAGATAATTTCAGCTTGTCCTCCCAAGAAATGAGTAATTAATACTTTTGCCAAAAGAAAAGAGTATCTGCTAAAAAATCATAGATAATTATATGAAGATATTCATAAACTTAATTCTTAATGTTTACATCAACCTAAGCTCCGTCAAAACCCTGGTTTCGTTGATCATTCTCTATAATCTTGGGTGGATTTTTACATTTTGCTTAATCTTGCTTGATCAGTAGCTCTGGTGTTCTCTTGGCACCTTTGTGATCTCATTCATGGTCACATATTTATCTTGTTCTCTGAGGCTGGTCCTTCCTCCTTCCTGTGCATTAACTTATTGGCGTTTGTGGGAAGCACAAAATGTTCTTCTCCTTCCAGCTTTCCTTATCTTATTCGCTCTGTGAGCCCAGCCCTGCCACCTTCTCCTGCCCCCACCACTGCCCCCACCCCCATCTTCCCTAGGTGCTTCTGAGCCTTGACTAATCCCAGAACCTTTCATTCCGTGCTCAATCCATGATGTCATTTTGTTCTCCAGTTAAAGAAAGTACAGACAATAACCACCAAGTCGAACTCGATCAGACAGGGGAAAAACCAACTTTTCCCTGTTGTCATGAATGGCAAAGAAGATGTTTTGTGGTGCACTGAGCTAGAAAGGTGAGCAAGGCTGCATGTGGAGAGGGAAATGATGCAGACAGAGAAAGGGGAAGAAATGTGGTTTAAGGCCAGCAGCACAAACGAGTTTGCCTGCCTTCGCTCTACACGGACCCACTGACCTGCTGTGTTAGTGGGACTGGGAGCAATACCTTTTCAGAGTTGGTGCTTACTGCCTGCCAGAAATGGTGGAAGGGTGGTGGTGATGAGGAATCTGAAGCATGAGGTCATTAGACAGCACCATCTGTCTGTGGGCTGTGCTGTCCTGGCTTCTGCCAGCCCCAACATGCTGGGACACTAGGATGTAAGCAAAACCAGCTAAAGAAAACCCCACGGACATGCCATTGCTCTTTCTCAGAAGATTCCTTCTGCCAAGTTGCTCTTCTATAGCTGATTCCTACTTAACCACAGCCTGCCTTTCTCCATTTGTTTGGCTAAGTTGGTAGCTTATCTATTTTGAGTCAAAGAACCAGGTCTTAAATTTTAGTTCTCCTATTCTGATTTCAATTTATTTTTCTCATTCCTTTTGTTTTACTTCTTTGTTTTGTTCTTGTTAGAATATTTTTGTTAAAAAATGTAAGAAGGGCTATGAATATTCCTCTCTACAATTTTGGCTATGTCTTGAAGGATTTGATACAGAGAATTTTCATTCCTGATATTTTAGTTTTACAGTCAGTCAGTTTTATTCTTTACTAAACATTAGTTTTCTTAGTATAAAAGTACTGTTAGCAGAAATAAACTGGTGGGCAACCTTGCCTATTTGTGCTGTGAGTTATTCTGTATAGTTGACCTTGAACAACACAGGTTTGAACTGCGTGGGTCCACTTATATGCGAATTTTTTAAATAAGTATATTGGAATTTTTTTGGAGATTTGCTACAATTTGAAAAAAAAAAACAGGTGAATCACGCAGTCTAGAAATATTGAAAAAAATTAAGAGAGTTAGGTATGCTATAAATGAATAAAATACATGTAGATTCTTGTGTTATTTTATCACTTACTACTATAAATAAATACAAGTCAACTATTCATGTTATTACTAAGGTGGTTATATAACCTACCAGCAGTTATATTTGGAGGGACTCAAAGTTATACTTGGATTTTCAACTGCACGGAGGTGCCCCCACCCCCGTGTTGTTCATGGGTCAACTGTATTTTGAGACCCAAGCCTAACATGTTGGGCCAGTCCTGTGATACAAGGGTTGGTGCAGATGATTATCATTATGTAGACAGATTAAAGACAGAGGCCTGAGGCATTGTAATTTTGCATGTTTCTTTTACTACCCATTCAGCATTGGTCCATTAGTGTGAGTTTTACTGTTAAAAAGGTAAACCTGTGTAAGAATAAGGTTCAATATATCTGTAACCTCTTATGAGGCCTGGTAAAACCCCACAATGGAGGCTCTTGGTGTATTTGGTTGTTATCTGCCATTAGTCCAGCCTGGCTCTTGATCCAGCAACTGGGTTTGAAGAGGAAAGGAGAACTTGGGGGTTCTTCACTGTACTCGTGCAAATTGCCTGCGCATCTAATAATTGACAACAAGGTTTGTTTTCACAAGTGTCCTTGTTCCTTATTAAGGAAATTGCCTAACTTCTCCCTTCTTGGGTTTGAAGACAGATATACTTCTGTCTTCTAGCTGGCTGTCTTGGAATTCATTCATTTGAGAAAGGTCCACTGAGCACCAATTATGTGCCAAGGGCATGGTGGTAATGCTGGGATGCATATAACAGGCGCCCTCGCGGAGGAGTCATGCCCTTCTGGCTAATGTGTGTTCTGAAGAACCGTGTACCTGACTTCGGGGGCAAAAGAGGGTTTGTGTGCAAATGATAACAAATGGGTAAAAGTGTTATAGGTGAATTTGAGTAAAGAGTACATAAGTATTTTTTTCTATAACTTTTAAATTAATTTTCAATAAAAACTTTTAGAAAAGGAAAAAGGAGGGCCCATACGGTGGGCCTGGGCAGAGGGCAGAGAGAGCGGTGCCGCGTTGGCCATGGTGAGGGTCTCCCAGAGGCCCTAGGCACGCTCGGAGGTGGCCCTTCTGACTCCCTGTGTTTTTACTCTGGTGCCCCCCCAGGATCTTCGGCTTTCCTGTTCACTACACGGATGTGTCCAACATGGGCCGTGGTGCCCGCCAGAAGCTGCTCGGGAGGTCCTGGAGTGTGCCTGTCATCCGACACCTCTTCGCCCCCCTGAAGGACTACTTTGCCTGTGAATAGTACCCCAGGCTCTCTGGGGCAAGGGGGTGTGGGGCAGAGCTGGGACTCAGGAGGTGCATCCCAGGCTCTGTTCTTCCGCAGCTCAGCTGTGTAGAGTCATGCCATATACCTTGGGTGAGCGCCGCCTGACGCCCTCCTGGCAGGGGAGCCCAAGGTGCCACCTCCTTGTGCACAATTCAACCTGGCCACTTGGAACGGCCAAACACGGTGCTCAAATTGTCTTCTCCTAAAACTTTGAAACTTGAAGTAGATAGTAAAGATGGCTTTTTTTCCCCCCTCCTGGGTTTATTGCTCAGAAACAATTGCTAATATACCAAAACCACAGTGCCGACAGCTCTCCAATACTCAGGTTATAAGGCTGAAAAGTCACCTGAGACAGTTACTGTAAGACTTTTATTTTAAGTGACTGCAGCAACTTGTTTCCAGGAATGTGCAGTGGTTGACACGTTGTAGCTAAGGGACATTTTAAGGGACCAGGATGCTTTTTTTCTAGGGCAGAAGAGAACATGACATCTGTGTCAAATGTTACCCAGCACGTTCCCCTGGCCTCTCAGAATAAAGGGCTGGGATGCACTGTTGGGGCCCATTGGGAGTATTTTATACACTGATGATGGTTTCAGCAGGAATGATCTCATCACATTCAGGGCTATTTTTTCCCCACAGACCCAAGGGAAGGGCCACCCTTAGCTACATCCCTCCCAGGGACTGCAATAGAACCCTCCAGCAAGCTCAGGAAGGGGGTGGGCTGGGTTATATGTTGCTGTATATTACGTTGGCAGGTATGGCTTCTCATGATCTTCCCCTGTGAGGGGATTGAAAAGGGAGGTTTAGGTAAGGACTGCCCCCCCCCCATGCATCCTCCAGATACAGGTCCCCCAGATTAGAAGTATGACCCTAACCCTCAGCCTTTTTCTAAATGCGGAAGCAGTGACAGCCCGAGGCAGAAGCACATTCCTCACTTTCCCCTCCTCTAAGAGACTGTAGGGGGAAAACTGCAATGAAAGCCCGACCCTCCCTGCAGAGATTTTAAAGTCCTTTCTTATTCCATGATAAATCATTTTTAGGGATAACAGGAGGTCGGACAAGCTGCATTTCAGAAATGCTGTCGTTATGGTTTTTAACACCTTTTACTCTTCTTACTGGTGCTATTTTGTAGAATAAGGAATAACGATGACAGGTTTTCTGGGAATTTTTCTTTCTTTTGTACACTTTTTAAAAAAAATCTCACTTATTTTTGTTTTACCATATTCATAAATTTTTTTTTTTGTAAATGGAGCCACACAACAAGAATGGGGAAAATTGTGCCTTGTTTCAACAGTTTGGTTAATTTTTAGGCTGGAAGATGACAGAAGCCTAGAGTTTACTTTATGTTGGATTAAAATCAGTATTGCTCTATAACAGTCTGGTGTCCCTTGTGTTCTTTTGCAGGTCAGATGGGTAGGGTATGGGAGGGCCTGGCTAAAGGGAAAAGGTGGGTGGTTGAAATGTAGGTGAGTCATTCAACAAGCACAGTACACGATGACCCCAAGCAGGCAAGGTCTAGGGCCCTGATTTCCCAACTCCAGTGTACGAGGTTTCTGGCCCCTACCTCCAGTGTTTGGTTCATTGACTGCAATGGAGACTGAGAATTCTGTGCCTCTGGTCCAGGGACCACATTGGGCCAGGTCCCTTGGTTCTCAAAACAAGTGGATGGAGTGTTCATTTAAAGGCTTGATGTCTCTCAGTTCTTTGTCCCTTTGTGGGATTCTCCAGCACCTCATCCCACTGTTCCCAAGTTATGTTGCAGTTCAGCCACATTCAGAGAGGGGACCTGGCCCCAGGGAAAGAACTGTTTGGGACTGTCCCCATGATTCTAACATAGCTGCCTTTGGCCTGGGCTTTCTGGGAGGAGCATGTATCTTGCTCTTTTAAGCTTAATATTGCAACTCCATTCAGTAATTCAGTCTTAGTTTGCCTGGGACCACTTAGCTAGGTGTGCCAAGCCCAGAGCCCAGTATGCCAAATCCTCCTGTTTCACTGAGGCAGGATAGAAGCTAGGAACATTTTTTGGCAAGTGGGATAGGGAAATTGAGACAAACAGCCAGGCAGCTTGCAGCCCTCTAGTAAATCCTATCTTTAAACCAAGGACACTTAACAGTAAATGGTTTAAGTCCTGGCTAGATAGTTCAATTGCTTAGAGCATTGTTCTGATATGCCAAGTTTGAGGGTTCAGTTCCTGGTGAGGACACAAGAATCAACCAACGAATGAATAAATGGAACAACAAATGGGTGTTTCTCTCCCTCTCTCTAAAAACCGATAAGTTTTAAAAAGTCAATGGTTTATACTTTTCCCTAACCAGAGGGTAAATAGCCTACTCTGGGAGACTGCAGAAATCAATTTGTGCCAACCACACCCAAGGAGAGGTGACATTAAGAGAATAAATTTCATTTTGGTACCCCAGCATAAACTGATGAATATTCTATTAAGATCCTCCCCTGAACTCCCAGCCTTTAGAAACAAAATGAAGGCCCCAGAGCACACCTATGCCTTCTCCTTCTTTCTCTTCCCCCTCAGGCACACATCTAAACTCAAGGATCCCATGAGACTCCACCAGGGGAGCAATGGGTAGTGGCAGCTTGGACTAACCCCTTGATCTTGTTTCCAAGGCCCCCTTTCCTCTTGACTTCCCAGTGAGCTAAAGCAACCTATTCTTTTCCTATAACATTTTTGGAGAAAGCAGCCCAGACTAGGCTCTCCTGTTGCTTCTATGCTAAGCCCTTATTTCACTGTCCCCAGCTTTAATAGCTGTACCATAAAAGTAACCTGTACTTTTTTAAAAAAAAAATCTTTATTGTTGAATGTATTACAGATGTTCCTCATTTTTCCCCCATTGACCCCCCTCCTCCACCCTCCCGCCCCTCTCCCGCCTTTTCCCACACTGTTGTCTCTGTCCATTGGTTATGCATATAAGTTCTTTGGTTTATTTCTTCCCACCCCCCAACCCCTTTCCCTTCGAGGTTTGTCAGTCTAGAATGAATTTGTACTTCTTAATCCCTTCACCTTTTTCACTCATTCCCCCAACCCCCCTCCCATCTGGCAACCAACAAAATGTTCTCTGTATGAGAATGTTTCTGTTCTGCCTGTTCATTTTGTTTGTAGATTCCATTGTCGATAGATATGTATTCATTGCCATTTTGTTTGTTCATATATTTTATCTTTTTCTTCAAAAAGACCCTTCATTTCATATAATAACGGTTTGGTGGTGATGAATTCCTTTAACTTTTTCTTGTCTGGGAAACTCTTTATATGGCCATCGATTCTAAATGACAGCTTTGCAGGATAGAGTAATCTTGGTTGTAGGTTCTGGCTTTTCATCACTCTGAATATTTCTTGCCACTCCCTTGTGGCCTGCAAAGTTTCTTTTGAGAAATCAACTGACAGTCTTATGGGAACTCCCTTGTAGGTAACTAACTGCTTTTCTCTTGCTTTTAAGATTCTCTTTGTCTTGAACCTTTTGCATTTTGATGATGATGTGTCTTGGTGTGGGCCTCTTGGGGTTCATGTTGTTTGGGACTCTGTGTGCTTCCTGGACTTGTATGTCTGTTTCCTTCACCAAGTTAGGAAAGTTTTCTGCCATTATTGTTTCAAACAGGTTTTCAATTTCTTGTTCTCTCTCTTCTCCTTCTGGCACCCCCAAGATGCAAATGTTGGCACACTTGAAATTGTCCCAGAGGCTCCTTACACTCTCCTCATTTTTTTGGATTCTTTTTTCTTTTTGCTGTTTGATTGGGCATTTTTTGCTTTCTTATATTCCAAATCGATGGTTTGCATCTTGGATTTACGTACTCTACTATTGAATCTGTAAATTATTCTTTATTTCAGTTAATACCTCCTTCATTTCTGACTGTGCATCCATCATTTCTGACTGGTTCTTTTTTATGCTCTTGAGGCCCTCACTGAGTTCATTGAGCATCTTATGGGAACTCCCTTGTAGCAGTATTTTGAACTCAGCATCGGTTAGGTTGCTTATCTCCATTTCGCTTAGTTCTTTTCTTGGGGTTTTGTTCTGTTCTTTCATTTGGGACTGTTTCTTTGTCTCCTCATTTTGACTGCCTCTCTGTTTGTTTCTGTGTATTACTTAATGAGAGGTATTGGGCTATCTGAGACAAGATGCTGCTTGTTTGAAAGAATTTAGGAAAACCTGAAGCAGGATCCAAGACAGGCCAATCCTATGGTTAAGCAACTGGCAACAGCTTGGGTGGGCCTGAAAGTTGGGTGGGCCTGAAAGTTGGGTGGGGCGGGGCGGGGCCTCAGGGAATCACCAGGGCGGGGCTACCAGTGTAAGCCAGGTTGCTGGAGTCCCACATATGGTGACTGTCTGCCGCCCCAGGGAAGGGCTCACCAAAGGAACAAAGTCCTCTGACAGCATGTTTTTCCCGGAGAAAGCCCCCTCTCCAGCCCTCTCTCCAATGCCAAACAGCTCAGTTCTTCCCTGTATGTCTCTGGTGCCTCTCCAGCTGCCTCCCCTCCAAGCTTAGAGGGAGTGAGTCAGATAAGTCCGTGCGCAGGCCCTTTAAGGAGCTGCCTGGGGCTCCAGCTGCATCAGCTTCCCTGAGCCTCAGTTCCGCTGATTTTTCCAGCCAGAGGTTATGGGGACTTCTCTTCCTGGCACTGGAACCCTGAGCGGGGCGTCTGGTGTGGGACAGGGAACCCTCAGTCCTCAGGGAGGACCTTCCCAGCTGAGGTGTCCTCCTGATTTTTATCCACCACACGTGGGTGTGGGACCAGCCCCTCCCCCCTCCGCCCCTCCTACCAGTCTGGATGTGGCTGCTGCTTTAATTCCGTAGTTGTAGGACTTCCCTTCAGCTTGATTTCAGGCGGTTTTGAATGATGGTTGTTTTGTAGTTTAGTTGTAACTTTGATGTGGTTGTAGGAGGATGAGATACCGCGTTTACCTGCCCGCCATCTTGACCGGAAGTCCATCAGTAACCTGTACTTTTGTTGTGAAATCTTTTCTGCG